ATTATGTAGGATGATTTAATGTAGAAAACAGTAAATTACAAAAAAGACTTTAGCATTTTGCAAGCACGGTCTCAGAATTAGCTCCCTACATAATTTTCTGCTAAAAATTGGGTTATACACTATTTCAATAAAATAACTGATATTCTGTGTAAATATTGTGACGAGCGTCCCGAAGCTTCATCAGCGTCGCCCTGGAAACAAGCGAGGAGCACCTGGCCATCAGTCACAGCTGCACCTCATCAGGCGGCGGCTACATAAGCCACGCAAGCCTTGCCATCTAGGAGATTCCTCCATGAGACTGAGCACTAACTCGCCCTCTCATTTTTCCCACAGAAAGCAGTGTGTGACCGACCAGCCCCACAGGAGCACTGCACGGACCCTCTGCACTGGGAAGACGGAAGAGAGCACTCACGGCACCGGAGCACCTACCTGGACCTTTCTCACTAGCACCCATTGCCCCAATAAATCCACCCTTGATTGAGTATTGATTGAGATTACTTGTCGTGTGATTTTTCACCCCATTACAATATTTTGATAATACAATTACTGTAGGAAACAGACATTGAAGACCGTGTGACGGCAGGAATGGATGTGGACATTTTCATAATGCCTGATGGAGATGATGCCTTTGACTACTATGTAGTGCTGGAGGAACAGATTGTCCTGAAAGATGTCAAAGACCTCCCTCATGCTGTAGCTCTACTAGTTGGGCTGATTTTTGCACTTAATATTGATTACCCCAAAAAACTACGCTACACATTTGAGATTTTCATTTACCTTGGAGGTGATCAGTGGTTCTGTGAAGGTGCATGGGCTGAAAAATAGACTCCTTCGCAAAACTGTGTAGTTTCCTAACTGAAAAGTATACGATGTGCACCTTTTTGTTGTTCATGATTTGTCTTGTGAATTTCTGGTTATTTTTCTTTTAAAACAATGAATGTTCAATAAATTTTTTCTTGACGTGGTTATGCAGTACCAATGTATGTAACTGAATATAAAAATATCGTGTTTGATTTTAGACACTTTTATACTTGTCACTAGACACTTGTTTATACAGTATTATTGTTAATGCAGTACATTACTCTGTATTGTATGCATTATTATTGTTTATGCAGTACATCAATGTATGCTTCATACAGTAGCCTACATTATCGTTGTTCATGCAGTACAGTACTCTGTATTTTATGCAGTATTATTGTTTATGCAGTGCATCACTGTATGCTTCATACAGTATTGTTCATGCAGTGCATTACTCTGTATTTTATGCAGTATTATTGTTTATGCTGTGCATCACTGTATGCTTCATACAGTATTGTTCATGCAGTACATTACTCTGTATTTTATGCAGTATTATTGTTTATGCAGTACATCACTGTATGCTTCATACAGTATCATTGTTAATGAATTGAACTTGTTTTAGTGAAAAAATAAAATTCAAATGATTAAACTTAAATTAAGTTAATTGCACTTGATTTATAAAGTCCTGTCAACTTTATTCTTAGTTAAGACAACTTCACAATTTAAGTTCACGAAACTTAACATTTTAAGGCAGCATGAACACTTTTAAGTTGAAACAACAATTTTTTTTTACAGTGTATCATACACCCGGCGCAATGCGGCGCAAGTGTTTTTGCTAGTTTCAGCCCGATGCAGTTCTCATTTTCCCATCCTGCGGCGCATTGTTTAAATAGCAAATGTATTTGCGTCCATTTGTGTGCGTGGGCGTGCTGGTCTAAAAAAGGGGCGTGTTCAAGCGCATTGTTGGTGCGTTGCTATTTTGAGGAACTGAAAATACACTGTGCCATAGACCAACTCAAACCTGGTCTAAAGTCTGGCACAATATTTTTTCTTTGTTATTTAAAGGGGTCATATGATGTGATTTCAAGTTTTCCTTTCTCTTTGGAGTGTTACAAGCTGATTGTGCATAGATAAGATCCCTGAAGTTGCAAAGACTAAAGTCTCAAAACCAAAGAGATATTCTTTATCAAAGTTAAGACTCTGCCACGCCCCCCTAAAATGGCTCGTTCTAACGCCCCCACATATCTATGTCACTATGTGGAAATATTTGCATAATGCGCCCAAATGTGCACGCAAAGTAAGAAGGCGTGGTTTCAGTAACTGCAGTAAGTGTTGAAGCAGCCATGTCAGGGAGACACTGTGTGTTTCTAGGTGAAAGCAAAAGCACTTTATTTGGCCTTCCAGAAGTAGATGCATTTAGGAATCTTTAAGATTACTTACAACAGAACAGCAATGCATTTTATGGATGACTGTTTTGTGAACCTGGGAGAGGAGGTAATTCTGACTTTGCTATGACAATCTGGCACTTCTG